TGCAAATTGTTTAGGCTGGATGTTCGTAAAACAGACAAAACAGACTGAATAGAAGAGAGCACTGATGAAGGAAATATGGCCGATCGAGTTATTGTCTGAAAACAGAATTCCTTCAACAGAAAAACAGAGGAAACAAACTGAAAAACTGGCTGGCGGATAGAGAGACAAACAACTTGGTTAGTCAAGAACTGCAACGATCCCAGCGACGAGTGTTGAGTTTTCCAAAATGGGCACCTGAAAATGCCTTGGGTGGACTTGACTGACTTGTTGAAACGACGTCTCAGTAACTCGAAGAGAGAATCCTCTGGAAATTTCAGTACCTCAGCAGTAACGGAAATAACAAGACTTCCAGAAGGCATAAGCATTCTGTGACCGTTGGTGAATCATACAGTGGATCTGAAGAGATTCAAACAGGACATTTGAAATGCAATCAGATCCACATGGAACTATGGATCCGGGTTGTTCAACTAAAATGATAAAACTTCGCTTCTTCTATCATGCGGGAACATACCCGTGGTTGAAGTAAAAACTACCGATTTTAGCGGTAGAATAAAGGGTATACTCCACGATATACTAAGCCAAACCAACAAGTAGCTATGCTTCCAACCGGAAAGGATATGCTGAACCAACAACAGCGAGGGACAAAGCTGGCACTGTATGGGATAGCTTGTGCAAATGGAGTCGATCAAGCGAACCAAGCATCTGTTCCAATAAGGGCGGGTAGACGGACAGACTAGCTACCTTGATTCCACAATTGTCTAATTGTGATGGGAACAGCGGAGGGTGGGGTCGGAAATTTGTGACTGGAAAACATGCCGAGTGTGGGGAGGGAGCACAAGATACGTTACACGATCATGTATTCAATCAGAAAACACCGCTCTAGGCGCTAACATTCTGTAATACGGTTAGTCCGGCAAATCGGAAGTATGTATTCAACCACCGGTGATGACTATGACGCGCGGTTATGTTATCATTTTGTCAAATTATGACATACAGAAAATCCTGATTAATCATCCGCCGATGGTGAACAGTAGAATGGAAATCTATCACAGTTTACCAAAATGCTGTCACAGAATGCCGCCCGCAAACAAAAACGCATGTGACGGAGAGATTTTATTCCACGGATTCTTGTCGAATACTTGCTCCCGCTGAAGAGAACGAACGTTGAAGCCGGTTTGATGAATCACTGACGACTACTCAATCTAGCAGATACGTGAACTATGATTCCCCACTGCGTGCATGTTCTCCATCNGGCGTATGAACTGGCCCCGGGGCTGACTGTATAGAACAATCACAGACTCGAATAAACATGTTCATTCTGTGTGTGAAAATCATATGGTTCGAAAGAGTAAACACTGATTCTCAACTTTATCGTCGGGAATAGGCCGTGATTTGTTGCACAACTAGGTTCACTAACTGCATCATGGAGTACGTTGCAGTTTGCACTCGCGAGCAGGGGGCGGGGTGAGGACCAATCACATAAACCACTTATTCTGTCGCGTACAGTCGAGTAGTAAGAATGATGGGCAACAATTTTATCCCGTTGAAAGTGAATAGCTCGAAATGTTATTTGTTTACAAGATATTTACAATGTGTGTGGCTCAAAGGCACAGAACAAACAAAGTTTGATATAAAAAAACAATTGTTTTACTTCAAGCAATAATATTTTAAACTAAAAACACCTCAGTGGGAGAAGTCACAGAGACTGGGGAGCTTGGGATCGACCAAACGATCAATAACCGCAAGCTAAGGTTTGATGTATCAAATGTTCTATGGTTAATCAACGTAAACAGAGCAAGCAATTTGTCGCACTTTAGAGATAAGTCATTGAAGCGAAAATGAACGGATCCTTGCCAGCGATTAAACGTGTCAAAGATAAGCACATTGGCCGCCAGATTTTGATGTTAATAAGTTCACTGGTCTTCGTGCAACACGTTCATTTCTCATCCGGTCAACGTCTTTGTGAATTTGAACTGGTGATCACTGTTCTGAAGATCGATTCAATCGGTTTCAACTGGAGTCATATCGGTTGAATGTTATCACCACACACACAATGGCAGAAAGAGTTGAT